CCAGAAGGGGGCCTACCGGTAGGCGGCGGGTTGTGTTAGTAATTAGGGGGGCGAAAAGACTGATCAGCCAAACCGAGCGATCGCTATGGCTTGGTGTGCCTGCGGCTGGTTTGGTATCCTGCTGATTGGGATCGTTGCCACGTGGGACCTTCTCGCATGCTCCTCGTGCGCGGAAGGAGCGGCTGCGAAGTTCATGCCAGGAGTCTGGGTCGTCCGCAGGGAGGACCGGATGGGCGTGTCGTCGGCAGAAGCACGACCGGTCGTTAGCCCTGATCGCCTCCTCGAAGCCTCTGCAGGCCGGCGGGAACTGATCTCCCTGCACCCGTTGTTTGTCAAAGAGAGGAGCGGCCCGCTTGTGAATCACCCCATGATGCGTGCTGGTGGTGACTCTTATTGGTGCGGATCTTCTATATTCCATCTTGTAGTGCCAGAACCCTCCCAAGTGGACAAGGAAGTGGGCAAAGCCATGATCTATTATGTCATGGACGAGTTGTGCCTAGCCCGGAACAATTCCAAAACAGACAGGCTGATCTCCATCAGGAACGCAAGTTTCTCGCTGGCTGATCGAGCACCGTCACTCTTGGATGCTAATGACAACAACACGCTCGTAACCTACTGGTGGCCGGCTTCCTCGCCCAATGGAACAAAGGTCTCTGAGCGGCCACTCGTGAAGTTGGGGATGAACATGAGCTCTTCGGTGGCTGGCCCGCCCGTCTTCTACGGCCTGGACGTGTCAAAATCGCAGAGCAACCTGGTCGTCAGTTATCAGCCCTACGATGTCGGCGGGACGAGCATCATCACCTCTGTCTCTGTGATAGATGGGTCGCGCTCGTCAGTCAATCCGGGTGTGAGCACGCTGGAGAGCTTGGCGCTCGATCCCGCCAACAACACCCTGTATTTATCCGACAACTCCAAGACCTCCCCGAAGATCCTCTCCGTGCCTGTGTCCGACTCAGGTCTTCCCACAGCTGGGGGCGACCTGTCCGAGGTGCTCAATACGTTTGGGGATCCCAATGTCTCGTCGATTAATTTCGGTCACTACAGTTTCGTTTCGGGCGGGAGTTGTATTTACTTCCGCGACGACAAGCAGAGGCGCGTGTGGGGTTTCGATCCCCGACGCTCCTCCTCCACCGACGCCACGCTGGTGGCAGGATTTGTATTCCCGGGGTTGCTTGACGTGCAGAATATCGATGACGCCAACACTACCTTCAACCGCATGCAGGCGCTGGTAACCACACCCGATGGGTGTAATCTCTTTGTCACGGACGTGTCGGCACGGAATGGAATGGTTCGATGGCTGAAGCTAGAGCGGCCCTGTAGCCTGGCAACAAGCGTGGAGGTGGTGGCAAATCACAACGCCATAGGGTTTTCCAGCTTGGCGTTACACATAGCTGAGGGTCGGGTAATTCTCTTTGCTGGCTCGTATGAAGGCGAAGTGTTTCAGCTGGTAATCAACGAGGAGGTTCTAGGGGGTTGCGGCTCTCGGCCTCCTCCCCTCGGCAGCAGCAGCAGCTCGCCGCCATCATCGTCCTCCTCACTCCCCCTCCCCACTCCTTCACCTGCCGAATCCCAACCGAACCTGCTCAAATCAACGTCCTCACTCCCCGCCACAACTCCATCTCCCAAGCCTACATCGAACCTAGTGCTCATCATCGCTCTGTCCTTCGGAGGAGGTGCCTTAACGACCGTCCTTGCTCTTCTAGGCGCTTTCTGCTACAAGAAGCAGGCTAGCGGACCGAAGTCGCGATCCCGACTGGGTGAGCCGCAGGCTGGGCTAGCCTCCGCCAATTCCCCCTCGAGGGACAGCTCGTTGGTAACTGCCGCGACGGGATCTTCTCCGACCGTCGGGAGCGGGAGCACGGTGGACGGGTCGTCGTCGACCACCCCCATCGATCGATCGAGGGGCAAACGAACGGAGCTCTCTCCGACCAACGTGCAGCGCTTCGAGCTGAAGAGCTTGGCAGACTGCACGGACGACTTCCATCCCTCCAAGCTCATTGGCGACAAGGGGGCGTTCGGCGTAGTCTACAGGGGTTCCATGGACGGCAGGGAGCTGGCCATCAAGGTGATGACGGGCGAGTTGACTGACGTCAAGAAGGCACAGTTTGTTGCAGAGGTGAACACTCTGAGCAGGTTGAATCATGCCAACCTCGTTGAACTCGTTGGGTTTTGTCAGGAGGGAGAGAAATCCATCTTGGTCTACCCTTACTACGCGGGGGGAAGTTTGCAGCAGCGATTGCACGCCGACACGATAGAGACAGAAGAACAAAAAGAGCAAGAACAGGGAGAAGAAGTACAAGGACATGAAGCCGTTGGGCACAACCACGAGAACAAGCATGATTTTTCACCGTTGACGATAGAGGAGCGCATGCGCATCGCTTTCCAGATTGCCAAAGGACTAAACTACCTGCACGACGGAGCAAGGCCGGCGATCATTCACCGAGATATCAAGAGCAGCAACGTTCTGCTAGGGGAGGGAGAAGGGGACATGGTCGAGGCGGTCGTGGCCGACTTCGGCTTGGCGGCCATCGGGGAGAGAGTTTTTGGCACAGGGTACGAGCACTTCGTCGAGACTTCGCACGTGGGGGGTACTTTCGGGTACATGTCGCCCGAGTACAGGCTGTACGGCAAGCTGTCGGAGAAGAACGATGTGTACTCCTTCGGCGTGCTTCTCCTCGAGCTGCTGACTGGGCGAAAGGCTGCCTGGCCGGCGGCAGCGGGGATGGGATGGGAGATGCTGGCCACGTGGGTCGGCCCGTTCCTTTCAGGAGGAGGGGATGATGGAGATGGGGTTCCCGAGGGGATCGACGACATGCCGTTTGCGATTCTCGATCCTTCCTGCCGCGCTCAGGTGGCGCGTGAGGCTCCGGCGAAAACCATGGTGATGGAGGCCTTGTCCCTGGCGGGAGATTGCGTCATTGAGCAAGGCAGGCATCGGCCTGCCATGAGAATCGTGGTGCAACGCCTTAGCGCCTCATGTCAGCATGCAGGGATAGCCTTGTGAAATTCAACTCTTTCCATCCCGCATCAATTCAATGGCCCCTACACAGTTTCTTCTTCGTCCAAAAAGGAACGCAGGGTGGTTATCGCTGTATCTCTATTGATGACCGAACACACCGGTAATGACCGTGCGAGCCTTCTATTTGGGGGAAAAGGAAGTCCCGGACACCGTCGGAGCATAAGCCACCACGTTGACACGAGAACACCGTTCATCAGTGAAGCCAGACGCTATGAATTCCCCCGAGGCGGCCACGCCCAGCCGCGGCAGAGCGACCGCCGTAGCCGGGGGGTGCGGGAGTGGGGGTGGCTGGTTGCCGCAGAGCGACCGCACGCCCGCTTTAGCGGTCAGTCGCAGGGGGTGCGGGAGTGGGGGTGGCTGGTTGAAGTTAGGCGACCCCAACCACGCCCCCTAACAAAAAAGAAAAAAAAAAAATTCTGCAGGGGGAGGGGGGGGGGAGATGTTGGTGGTGAAAATGAATTTTCAAAAAACAAAAACGAGGAAACTGATACTGCATCACCTTTTTAGTTTAAAATAGGCAAGAAAAGACAAAGTGGCCCTGAGTTTTATAAAGTGCAAGCTTAGCGGTGGCTTTTCTAGCCCTGTTTTGAGAACCGCTAAAGTTGCCTATTCCAAACGCTAGGTGTTACCCAGGAGCCATTGCTGGCGAGAGGTGTTAGTCACCCTAAACCTAATTCCGAATTAGGTTAGGGCTAACCTAATCTCGGATTAGGGTTGGGAAGTTAGGGTTAAGTGGGGCAGTGAGGTATGTGGATGCTGCCCCCACCTGGTTAGGTCATGTAGGGTCGACATCAGACCTGACCAGGTTGCTTGAGTGAATGAATGGGGTGGCGAGACACAAAGGAGGCTGATTGGAGTAAGCGAGAGGGAGAGGGAGTAGAGAGTGAGAGGTACTCGCACCTGGAATCTGCACTTCAAGAAGACATTGAGTGACTTTTGGGCTTTCCCTCAAGAGGGAGACTTCAACGGAGGCTGCCATATCTGCATCGAAGAGCTGCAAGTTGCTACTTTGGTCTTCAGACATCGGCGGGGGATAAGGCGTTGCAACAGGGGTGTAGGAAGGCCCTCTTAGTCATGCTAGGACACTTCGTGTAGTGGTAGCTAGGGGTCAGGAGGACTTATGAGAGAGGGGGACGACTCGTAAATCATCTTTGGAGCTATGAATCACCCACGGTCATGACCGCGGGCCATTTTACCGCATGCGGTCATGACCCCGACCACAGGTGCCAACCGCGCGCGGCCGAGTGTGGTCGAAAAACCCCGACATTTTTAATTCGTAGAATCATGGGCCAAAAAAAAAAAAAAAAAAGGGTGTTGTAGGGTTTTTAAAACACTACATCCCCATTTTTGTTGTTGTTTTTTTTTATGAAGTTTGTTTTTTTTATAGAAAATGAAAAAACAAGTATTAAAATCAAAAGAAAAATAATGAAAAAAACAATTAAAAAAGATTTTTTTTTTTTAATCTTTTTCTGATTGTTGGTGGGATAATCATGGTGCTCATGTTTCTTGGATTCTTTTGTTTTACCTATATTTACAAATGTCAAAATAATAATAAAAAGAAAAGATAACAAAGAAAAGCAAAAACAAAAGAATGAGCAAAATAGATTGAATCTTGTGCTAGAACGTCGATATATTAACTACTACACGTGTGTGTGTGTATGTGTGTGTGTGTGTGTGTGTGTGAGAGAGAGAGAGATTCGATCGATTTTGCTCATCCTTTCGATGGAAGTTGAGCGAGGCTGCGGCTGGCCTCGCGCAACTTCCATCCAAAGGATGAGCAAAATCGTTCGAATCTTCGGCTACAACGTCGATATATTCACTACTACACATCTGTGTGTGTGTGTGTGTGTGTGTGTGTGTGTGTGTGTGTGTGTGAGAGAGAGAGAGAGAGAGAGAGAGAGAGAGAGCAGATTCGACAGATTTTGCTCATCCTTTCGATGGAAGTTGCGCGAGGCCGCGACTGGCCTCGCGCAACTTCCATCGAAAGGATGAGCAAAATCGATCGAATCTCCGGCTAGAACATCGAAATATGCACTACTACACATGTGTGTGTGTGTGTGTGTGCCGGGGCAGGGAGGGAGGACCCCTCCCCCAACAATCAATCAATCAATCAATCAATCAATCAATCAATCAATCAATCAATCAATCACCCAACCAATCAATCAATCAACCATTCAATCAATCAAAATATCAATCAATCAATCAACCAATCAATCAATCATCAATCAATCAATCAATCAATCAATCAACCAATCAATCAATCAACCAACCAATCAATCAATCAATCAATCAACTTATCAATCAATCATTAATCAATCAATCAATCAATCAATCAATCAATCAATTTTTTTTTTTTTCTATTTTTTTCATTTTCTTTTTCCACCCACCAAAAACCACCCCCCCCCCAAAAAAAAAAATTAACTTCTTTCTCTTCCAGGGGATGGGGTCGGGGCTGCGGAACCCCGAACCGCAACCCCCTTCCCCAACCCCCTCTCCCCTCGGTCGCGGCGGACCGTCAAAGTCCGCGGTCGCCGCGGTCATGACCGCAGCCCTGCGGCCACGACTGCGGGCCGCGGTGATGCCCGCGGTGACCGCAGCCGCTGGGGACACATAGCTTTGGGGGTCGGGCCTCACAGGTAAGTGTCGTGTGTCTTGGGTATGCCCACGGGTGGTTGCTTGGTACTTCATGGCCTGTTGGGGTTGTGACTGGGCTCTTTTCCTCTTCTCCGCGGTCTTGGTTGTGTATGTGTGCATGTGGATTGCTTTCTCACCTGATGGATGGATGGATGATGTATCTTGTTCTCAATGACATATCTTTCTACAGTGCATTGTCTTTTCACTTCTGAACGGTAGTAGGGTTAAGTTCTTGCTTAAAGTTGTCTTTTCCTTTTCAGTACGGTAAAGGCAGTCTGGGACCAACTTGGACACCTATCTCGTTGGTCCTGGTCCACGACCTACTTGGGACCCTTTGGGACTCAGTGGGACCAGGCCCAACGGGACAGAACCTTTGGGACCCAAACCTGTTGCTGTCAATGGATTTCTTTGCTGCGCTGAATTTGGGGGACATACGGATAGCAAGGGCATTCCTTTCAAGGGGATCTTGACTGGTCTCACTGCATGTTATCACATACTGCCCCTCGTTTGGCTCAGCGATCGTCTGCACCCCTCCAAAACTCCATTGCTGCAGTTAGTTCTTCTTCGGCTGACTTATGGTGTTACATGTTCCTTGTCAGGTTAGACAAGAGGGGATCTCCAGCTGATCTGATCGGGCTTGTTCGATAAGTTTTTTTTTTTTTTTTTTAAGGGCAAAGTGCCTAAGGCTGATATAACCAATACAAAGATTGAGGTCAGGGTCCTCACAGTCTACCCGGAGTGACCAAACCAAATTTGTTGAGAACCGGGCTCTGCAACCCTCATATGATGATAAAGATAATGATAATGATGATGATGATGATGTCCTCTCTTTTATTCGTTTTTATTTTCTTTTATTCTGTTGTGTGAATGTCATTCTCTAAGTCCAAATGAATCGCCTCTCCGGCTAGGAGTTTTACCTTCTACTCTGTATGATCTATTGATTTCCTTTATCTGAGCTATCTATGTCTGGTATCGAGACGCGTGTGCAGAGAATAGCGAGAGAGAGAAGGGAGAGTGAAGGTGTTCTTTTTGAGAACGTGAGGAGGGGTAAGAGGAGTGTTCGTCCAAACGTAAGAAGAGAGCGGACCCCTCTTGAGGTGTGTATCTTTTTAACGAAAAATGGGGGAATTAAACTCTCGTTAAATGTCGTTAAATTCAAAAAAATCCAGTTGAATTCGCATTAAACGCGAAAATGGGCCACTCCCTCGCTTTTCGAAAAAACGGAATTGATGCGCGGGGTCCGGATCACGTGGCCCTACGCAAAAAAAAATAATAATCAATTAATAAATAAATAAATAAATAATAAAAAACCCAACCCCTGAAGCATCTCCCATCCACCCCCACATCCACCAACCCCCAATGCCCCAGTTATGTGTGTGTAGGTGTGTTGTGTGTGCGCGTATGTGTGTATGTGTGTGCCTGCGCGTGAGAGTGTGTCTGTGCATGAATATAAATGTATGCGCGTGTGTTTGTGTATGTGTGTGTTTGTAAGTGTGTGTGTGTGTGTGTGTGTGTGTGTGTGTGTGTGTGTGTGTGTGTGTGTGTGCACGATTATTGGCGTGAGCGCCAGCGAGCTAAAGCGCAACTCGGCTATGGCTGTCTGCTCCTTCCTGCTCGCCCGTGAGCACGTGAGTGCCAGCGAGCTACAGCGCGTGAGTGTCAGCGAGCTACAGCGGGCAGCGCTTACGCATCATGCAGCCAGCACCCGAATGCCCAATGTGGAGGCAAACCCTTTGCTATATCGAAGTGGCCTGCCTGTGTCCAGTCCCAAGAAGCTTCTAGTAGGGTCCGGTAGCCTAAGGCCCAGTACGAACGAGAACAGGCCTTGGGCCTGAGGTGATTGCATGCCCCCAACTGCCTTTGGCCTGTGTTTGGCCCACTACCCTGATCCAGCCCAGGGCCTGCTTTCCATACATTCACACAGGCGGCCGAGGGCCTGGGTTTCCTTAACCCACTGACACTGGACTCATGCAACCTGCGAAAGGCCCAATTTTGTGTGTGTGTGTGCGTCGTTTTTTCCTTTTTTTTATTTGCTTTTTATGGTTTTGAGTTTTTTAAAAATACACGAAGTTCCAAAAAAATAAAATAAAAAATAAATTGTTGTACATCCTTCAAAGATCTAGAACCTTATATTTTTTATTTGTTTTTCTTGTTTTTTTTTTAGCCCTTAAAAAATCAGTGTGAAACCCAAAACAAAAACACTCATTTCATTTTAGTTTTTGTTTTTTTATTATGTGTTTATATTTTTGATTAAAAAAAAATATATTTTGGCATCAAAAAATAAAACTAAAAATACAGGGTTGTAGTCCTAAGAAAAAACTACAACCCCATATCTATTTATTTGTTTTTCCCGGAAATTGAGGTCCTGTCCAATCATCCAATTTTGTTTTGTTCAGTA